GTTTACTTTTCAGAGAGCAGAGGGAGATGCTTAGGTATGACTGAAATGTCAACTCTATTTAAATGGGTTGGAAGGCCGACGAATATTTGTTCATGTTTAACTGTACAAATATGAAGTATCATTTTTCTGCAGTGGTGTACGATAATGAGCGACAGTGGCTGTGTATGCATGCACAGTTTTGAAAACGGGTCTAAACGGCGCGAAGAAAAGCGGCGAAGAGCGATCCACATTGCGGCTGGTCTGTTTGCTTAAACGCGTTTTCATTTGCAGGTATTTACTTGGCCAAGCCTTATCTGGGACAAAATAAAAGAAACCCTTACAAAGGATCAAACTCATTAGCTTAATGAGTAGTCAGCAAGATTAGCATTGCTCTACACTGGGAACCTTCTGTTTGTTTACAGTACCCTCCTTATGCACGGAGATATCTTCCAACCCCCTCCCCTAGCGAATACTTGAAACCGTAGAAAACGGGAAATATATATATAATATATATATATATATATATATATATATATATATATATGTTTGTGTGCACATACATATAATAAAATTTAATTTATAACAATCGCAGTAAGAAACTGACATCAAAAATTAATAGTAAAATAGAACAATTCATATATATATATATATATATATATATATAGATATATATATAATGTATTGTTGACGAAGGGGGTGACCTGGATCTAAGGCATGTAGTCGCGAATATTTTATTATATACAGCCTAACGTAATATTTCGTCACTTACTGTTTGTCTGTCAATTTCTGACACCTGTCGTCAAGCGATAACAAACTTATTTAAAAATTTAAAAAAGAAATAGAATAAAAATGCCTACGTCTCGTTAAAACAGAAACCGTTAATTTGATGAATTGTGAACAAGATTAAACCAAAATTACTCACTTTTTTCTTAAAAGAATTGTGAAACAACTTTTGCGAGGCGAAAATCTTATTTTCTTACGCAGCCGTTGAAATAGCAATTAGATTGTGGTGCTGTTGACAGAGAAACAGTAAAGGAACGAAATATTACGCTCGGCCGTATATGTATAAATATTCGCAAGAGCATGCCCTAGATCCAAATCACCCTTTGCAACTGATATATATATATATATATATATATATATATACATATATACAGTGGGTAGCAAAAGTATTTAACACATTGGTTTTTCTTACATATCTCAAAAAATAACAGATCAATTCCAACGAAACTTATCGGAAATATTAAAACGAACATTGTCGATCAAAACATAGAAGGAAAATTTAAACCCACTGTTTTGAGAAATATTTATTAACAATAAATAAAATAACCCATATGCAAGTATTTAACACACTTTACTAATATTTAGTACAGTAGCCTCTGTTCTGCTTCACAGCCTCCAGTCGTTTCCCGTAGTCTTCAACTAGTTTCTTGCAGGTACTTGTTGGTATTTTGACCCATTCTTCTTCACAAATTTTCTTCAATTTGTTTAAATTCGATGGATTTCTTTTATGAACTCGTAACTTCAATAGTTTCCACAAATTTTCGATTGGATTTAAATCCGGTGACTGGCTTGGCCATTCCAGGACATTAATGTCATTATTATTAATCAAATTCTTAGTTGTTTTAGCAGTATGCTTCGGGTCATTGTCTTGCTGAAATACAAAATCACGACCATGTCCCAAAGATGTGGCACTGTCCAAGAGTTGAGTTGACAAAATTTGAGTGTATTTTGCAGCATTCATTGTTCCTTCGATGATTTTCATTTTTCCTACTCCATTTGAGGAAAAACAACCCCACATCATAATATTTCCACCTCCATGTTTGACTGTAGGGATGGTATTTGCTGGCTCGTATTCCGCTCCTTTTTTCCTCCATACATGAGTGCGCATGTTTCGTCCGTAAAGCTCAATTTTCGTTTCGTCTGACCAAATTACTTTCTCCCAGAAATCATTAGATTCAGTTTCATATTTCTTTACAAAATTCAAACGGGCTTGTACACGTCGGCGTTTCAGTAATGGAGTCTTTCTCGGTGATCTTGAAGTGTGACATGCACGATTCAGTGATCTTTTAATTATATCTTTACTAACTTCAATTTCGGCATTTTTCAAATCATTCTGAATTTCTCGACGAGTAGAAAATGGATTTTTCTTCACAGTACGGGAAATGTATCGTTTATTAGCCTCATTTAAGATACGGGGACGACCACTCCTTTGAAATCTTTCAATAGTATCGAATTTTTTCCATTTTCGAACAACAGCACCAACTGTACACACAAGCAAATTCAAATCTTGAGCGATTTTCTATATCCCTTACCATCTTTGTGATTCTTTATGATTTTCTTGCGCATGTCGTTCGACAATTCTTTTGTTTTCACCATTTTCTTGCAGTAGTGGCAACAGAATAGCTGCAGTGTCTCAGAGCTGTTATGTAATAGCCATTTGAGTGTCGTGCAGTGCTGTCATTGGTCGACATATCACATCATATCAATATGGGTAGGAATCATGACGACACTAATCTAATATTTGCATTGGTGTTAAATACTTTTGCATAAGGGTTATTTTATTTATTTTTAATAAATGTTTCTCAAGACAGTGGTTTTAAATTTTCCTTTTATATTTTGATCGACAATGTTCGTTTAAATATTTCCTATAAGTTTCGTTGGAATTGATCTGTTATTTTTTGAGATATGTAAGAAAAACCAATGTGTTAAATACTTTTGCTACCCACTGTATATATATATATATATATATATATATATATATATATATATATATATGTGTGTGTGTGTGTACGTATGTGTGTGTACGCGTATGTGCGTGCGTATGTGTTTATGAGAACGTCCATTCCATAGATTTTAGCAATCTCTACGTACTTTTTTCCCTGATTAATTCGAGAACAATAAACTTGTCACTTTAGTTACCGTTAGTATTTTAGGGTGTATCAACACGCTACGAATTTTTTGGTTTTATATCTAGCAATTAAGTGATTGGAACCAGGAACCAATAAATACTAATAAATTAGAACAATTATAGTATATATATATATATATATATATATATATATATATATATATATATATATATATATATATATATACGAATGCCACTTTGTCACTGTGTTGTACTTTTTCAACTTTATTCCTAGAGACCCAAAATATCATTTCATCTTGGATCATGCCGACATCGTGAATAAATTAGAAAAAATCCCGGGCCAGATCCAAACCAGCCATCCTGAAATTTCGGATTCCCAAGTTTTCATTACCGCGGTTGTTTTCGGATTCCGCCATCTTGCCAGATACAAAAATTAAAGAGGCACAACTCTCTAACTTTCAATAGCTCATGTTCAAATAAATAAAATTACAGTGTTTCAAAATAAAATTATCCGTGTTTTCAACTTTACTCCTAGAGGCCGTAGCCCAACATATACCATTTTGGGATCAGGCCGACTCCGTGAGAAAATTGAAAACATTCCGAGTCAGATCCGGACCCGCAATCCTGAAATTTTGAGTTCACAACTTTTCATTACTGCCATTGTTCGCGGCTATTTTTTTAACGTGATTTTTTGCGACGAGTTTTTTTTTTTTTTTTTTTTTGTACAATAACAATTTTTATAACTTGGACATAAATTTGGGAATAATCGAAATTAATCCCTAAATCTAGCGAAAGTCACCCATGAAATAAAAAAAATTGTTTTTACGAAAAGTAAGGACTTCCGCACATCAAATTGTCTTTAAATTAAGTTGCGATTGAAGGCTCAATCAAGGAGCCAGATTAAATGCCGCCCGATAGCAATGTAAAAGCAATGTAAAAAAATGAATTAAAGACGAAATCTAGACCCACACTTTTGTATCCATTACAAGTGCTATCTGGAATAATCATACAGCTGGTAACATTTCTTTTTCAATTTCCCACTTCTGGAATCCTTTTAATTTCCAGTCGTCTTTGATCTTCAAAAATTGAAATACGTCAATTGTCATATACTGTCTTCTTATTTTATTCTCCCCTTTCTTTGATAATATTTTTCTCATATTCTTTCACACTCAGTAATCCCCTTGCATTTTACTGGCTTCATTGCCTTACTTGGGGTGAAATAATTAAAAAAATATCTTATAAACAAACATGCTGACACTTCGACGTGGTGTAATGGCCAACAAGCTTGTCTCATTAGATGAATTACGACTGAGTACTGACTTCGATCCTCACTGGGTATTCAATAATCTTGACCTTATGTCACATCAGAGCTATGCTTAGTAAATCATTATAAATTAAGCAAGCCATTTAAAATAAACATGCCCCTGGGATTTGGTTTATAATACTATATATATAATATAAATATTATAATTATAAATATATTATAAATAATATTAATGAATAATATTGATAGTATTAATCAAATATTTAATATTATTAATAATATAAATATGTTTAATAAACTGGAAAGATATTATCGTGCTGTGAAGAAAATTATTTGAAAGTTCATAATCGCAGTGTATGAAATAAGGACCATGATAGCATTTTCTTGCGGCTCCACGCTAGCAGGCTGTGATACAAGTTCAGTTTAATGTGAGGAGCCCGAGCGCGTGCACCCGGGACAGGTCCAGAAATAACCTAACCACCGCAACCGTCGGTGTTACCACTGATCATTCCTTGTTAGTTCAATGAGAGAGGTATTGCCGCAGGCAATTGTTTCCCGAAACCGGGAACCCCTTAATAATATTCTCTGTTGCATTCTGTCCGAAGACAGAGAAACAACTGAGAGATGAAACCTAGTTTATCCGCTGGAGGGGAGATACTACACTTTGATCCCAAAAGGCCGAGAATCGATATGATTTTCTAAGCGTTGCTTAGATTTGGCACAAGGCCGAAAGTATGGAGCACTCAGTGAAGATGGAACTCGCTACTCAGTCGTAATTGATCGAACAAGTCAAGCTTGCTAACCATTACACCACGTCGAAGTGTCTGTATGGACCAAGATTGCGAGGTGTGTGCAGGGTGGGTGGGGTAAATTGAAGCATATTATTTAATCATGCCGGCACTTGTATTTGGTGCATAGGAATAGCGCAAGTGAAAAAAAAGAGCTAAAGAAAGCGATTGCATTTCGAAAAGAAAGACAAAAACGGAGAAAAAAATTAAAGAAAAAAAAGAAAAGAAAGAAATTGAAAAAGAAAGAATATTGAAAAGTATTAACATTTAAATTATGAAAAAAAAAGAAAAGAAAAATAGTCGGGTGATGCGAAGCGCCTCGGGTTGATGTTGGGGGTGCTGACATTTAAAGGTTTTTGACCACTGACAGTGATGCAGAGTCGAGAGAGTCAAACCCGGACTCTGGTTTTGTGTGCTAGTGAACAGTAATCGCAGACATGATGTCTACCGTCTATTACACGACATACTAATTTGCGGAAGCGGTTATACCAGTGACTTTTAAACTAGTTTTACAGTCAAAAGCTAATAAACAAACATACACATGATGAACAACATTTTCACATCCTTAACTAAATATAAGAAATACAGCGTAATTGTATGAAACTCAATGTCAAGACTTTCTGATGATATTCAAATATGTTAAACTGAGCTATGCTTAATAAATCTCTACTTTCAATACTTGCCATTGCACGGTAGTTGATTCGTCTTTAAGTCTGTCCACTAGTAGTAGGGAATTCTCTCTCAGTAGGTGTTTCTATATTTTAATCTTGGTAATAGTACTGGTAATATTAGCCGTTTTCCTACAAAGAAACACTTTGCATTCATTGACCGGCAGATAGTTCGACTGTCGGTTGAAATTTATAAATTCTTTCCCTTAAAACACTTTTTCAGGAAAATAGATTTCCCAAGTCCAGTAGCTGTTATCGCTCTTTCCAGTACTGATGTTAATATATTTAAAAGTTGTTGTGGAGTTATTTCGCAGTGGAGGCTTGTATTTGTACTAAATCGGTCCTAAAATAGGTTCGACGTACAAAACGTTAGGAACTTGATATAATAGGTATTACGCAGAGTAATCTTGTTGTGGTCGCTGACTACTTTCGTATTCGACTGTCAACTACTGTCGTCCGACATCGACTCTATTTAGTAAATGCCCTACGGAGTCACATGTGGCACAAGGCCGAATTTACTGTGGGGTTCCCGAGCCCGTAGGCTCGGCCAAAAAATCCCCGTAGACCCCGCATAAACGGGATTGGATCTGTCTACTTCCCCGGACGAAATTCTGTCCTTCGGCAAATCCTCGTCCGGGTTCCTCTCTGCCCGAAGGAAGAGAGTTCGACTGTCGTCCGACATCAACTAGTATTTAGTCACCCCCCCACGAGGGTATCATGTGGCACAAGGCGGGTTTAACGTGGGATTTCCGAGCCCATGGGCTCGGCCAAAAATATACCCTTTGAACTCGTATAAACGGGTTCAGGGTCGGTTTACCTCTCCGAACGAAACCTCGCCCTTCGTCGTAGCCTCGTTCGGATTCCTCCCCGCCCGAAGGCAGAGAGTTCAACCGTTCAGCCGGTGGTCCGACATCGACTGACCCTCGTTTCTCTTACTACTCTTACTTATATTAGGTGGGAGAGTCTATTAACTATAGAATGGGTGTATTTCGCCATAACAAAAATACAAAAAAAAAATTGCACATAACCGTGTGTTTATGTAATTAAAGTTCTTTATAAAAAGGAGTAGCTAACAAGTGTTACACCAAGAAGTAGTGACTAACAAACTATACTTAGTTCTTCTTTTTATACACAGTGTATCTTCTTGACGTTGAGGATCATGACTCTCCACTATTTCTTATCCTTTGTCGCTCCTAATAACTTTTGTCTTTTTGCTATATCTCCGAAAGCCTGCTCCGTCATCCATTCGTTCAAGCTCGCCAGGTAGGTTGTGCGTTGTTTTCCTCAGACCCTCTTAGCTTCAATCTGCTCTGCGAGTATCAAATTTTCCAAACCCTCTTTCCTTGTTATTTGCTCCAGAAATTTCAGCTCTCTCTTCCTGATGTTAAGCATGTGATCTTTTGGTTGTCTCTAGCACTTCGTCGTTGCTCACATGTTCGGTCCATGGTAGGTTCAGTCCCCCGTCTGTAGAATCACATTTCTGTTGTTTCACGTTTCTTCTTCATCAGTTAGGAGATTGTCCCGTATCCACTGCTAGGCAGGTTGACTGATACTACATAACAGTTCAGTAGTTTTTTTTCTCTGTTTCTAACGTTATTTTTCTGTTTCTTAATACTTTGCTTAGCTTTTGGAGGACAGCTTCCGTTATCCCAATGCGTCTTCGGATTTCAGTGTCGCACTTTTCGTCCTCTGTTAATACGCTCCCAAGATATCTAAATAATTACACCTGTTTGATTTCAGTATCGCCAATCTGTAATTTGCATGTTCGGCTGTCCCTTTTGCTGACAACTGTGTATTCAGTTTTCTTGCAATTGATGTTTAGTTCTTTTTCTCGCTTTCCTTCATCACTTTCTGTAGGGGTTATTGTAGTTTTCTATCTGTGTCTGCTACCAACACTGTTTCATTTAAATATCTTACGTTTTAAGATTGTGTCAGCCAATAATGGATCCTGGTAGTACTTATAATTATATCTAGTATTTTTATTTAATTCCACATGGTTTGGTGGCTACACTTGTCATCCCATACATGATCCGCCATTCTTGATTTCATCGATTCACTCCTAATTACAGCTTTTTTAGGTTAACCCAAACAAAATTTTATCGGTTGGCTTTTTTTTGCCTTTGTATTTTTTGCCAAATCTGCAAGGGGTAGATGGATGGATAAAATAATTAATTGATTTGTTTACTTTGATTTATCACACTTTTGCAGGTTATTTAAAGGCAGAAAATATTTTCAGATTGTTAGAATTTTGGGTAGGGGGTAATAATGATTTAGTAATACAAGTCTTACTAATTAACCCATAGCTGGGGAGAAGAAGTGGATTCATATCTTTCCCAATGATATTTGTGCGTAAGTGAATATAACGCATCCAAATGGAATTGAAACTCGGCTCTCCGATTAACAATTCCGTGGCATTATCCATTACACCACCCGCACATCCAAGCTTACAGCATCTGGTATTCCCAAGCGGTCACCCATCTATGTAGGTACTGACCAGGCTTCGGTGATCATACGGGAACAAGCTTCTGCACAATTGTAACAAATATTAAATTTATTGTCAGAAACGTAATTCTCATTGAAAGCAAGGATAAAAGCCCATAATAAATTCTAAATGTCTGATGAAGCAAAGTTTGAAGAATGTTTGATGAGGCAAAACTTGAAGAATGTTCGATGAAGCAAAATTTGAAGAATGTTTGATGAGGCAAAATTTTAAGAATGTTTGATTATGGAAAAGTGAAGAATGATATTGATGATGAAAACATTTGAAGAATGTTTCATGAAGCAAAATTTGAAGAATGTTTCATGAAGCAAAATTTGAAGAATGTTTGATGAGACAAAATTTTAAGAATGTTTGATTATGGAAAAGTGAAGAATGATATTGATGATGAAAACATTTGAAGAATGTTTGATGAAGCAAAATTTGAAGAATGTTTGATGAGGCAAAATTTGAAGAATGTTTGATTATGCAAAATGAGGTGTTTTTGATTATGCAAAATTTGAAGGATGGTATTGAAGAACGTTTGATGAAGAAAAATTTGAAGAATGTTTGATGACGCGAAATTTGTTGAATGTTTGATTATGAAAATTAGAAGACTGATGAAGCAAAATTTGAATGTTTGTTCATGCAAAAAAAACAACATTTGGTTAAACTTTCTAATCTTACGATCTGATCATTTCATGAATTAATAAAAAAAAAAGAAAGAAAGAAACAGCCAGAGTGAATTAAAGTGGTTACAAATCAACTGGGGACAATTGGCTCAAAGACGACCAACGAGAATTTGCGGTCAGGGTTCATTCAAGACAATCTTCAAATCTATTAAGTTTGCTTTCAAGAAATGCAACAATATACTTGTTGATAGATAGATAGATAGATAGATAGATAGATAGATAGATAGATAGATAGATAGATAGATTCTGTTCTCAGATAGTGTTATGGGGACCTACCTTCATGGACAAAATAGACTCGTCTTATGACTATATTATACCTCGCAAGAGGACTGTAGACAGTGGACGGGTTGACTACTGTACTTAGCCGTCAGAGGGATGTGCAATACTTCTGTAGATAGATAGATAGATAGATAGATAGATAGATAGATAGATAGATAGATAGATAGATAGATTCTGTTCTCAGATAGTGTTATGGGGACATACCTTCATGGACAAAATAGACTCGTCTTATGACTATATTATGCCTCGCAAGAGGACTGTAGACAGTGGACGGGTTGACTACTGTACTTAGCCGTCAGAGGGACGTGCAATACTTCTGTAGATAGATAGATAGATAGATAGATAGATAGATAGATAGATTCTGTTCTCAGATAGTGTTATAGGGACATACCTTCATGGACAAAATAGACTCGTCTTATGACTATATTATGCTTCGCAAGAGGACTGTAGACAGTGGACGGGTTGACTACTGTACTTTGCCGTCAGACGGACGTGCAACACTTCTGTATTCGTTCTTTTTGTTAATAATACGTTTTCACTGAATTGCTGAGTTCGAGTTTTCTTTGGGACCTCTTCCGGGTTCACAACAGATAGATAGATAGATAAAAAAGAAATAGAAAGAAAGAAAGAAAGGAAAATGAAACTAAGTTTGATACAAGGATGACATTGACAAATCACCTTGTGCTACAGTCATTTGAAATTTATAAAATGATTTAAAATAATTTCTCAGGAAAATAGGTTTCTCATGTCCTGCAGCTGCTATCTCTCTTTCCGGTACTGATACGTGTTTCCTTCCTAACCTTTTATTTGAAGTGGTATGGAATGTTACCATCTTCATTATGCCATTAATTTCTCTTCGAGTTACAGGTGATATCCATTTTAACTGTTTCTTCTGTTGATAGGCCTCAAGTGCCGTAGCTTCTATAATTTATTTTGTGACATACGGTGGCCGTTAATTATTAAGTATAACTCAAGAATTCAATGTTAAAATAAAACAGTATTTAATTAAACCACTAATAAATACTTAACAAGTACAAAGAATTAAAAGTCAACCAAAGATAATTAACCATTTCAGTGAATAGTTTGTTAACGTCCGGTAAATCCTAAATTAAAACCCAAATCATAGACGCATAATAATTCACACTAATTCGACTGGATAGTTCCACTCAATCGTCACTCAAATAATCACTCAATGATCACTCCAGTTAGTAGACTGACACCGCTATTTATACACCTGGCGGAAAACATATATTCATAAGTAACGCTCGAAGGTTGGTGTCAGTAGTTAGTCATTTTCTTCCTCTATGACAATTTAGTACAGTTCTTTGTTTGTGAATCTGAAGCGCCAATCCTCAAGATTTTAAGAAGAAAACACTGGCTCAAAGACAACACGATCAACGAGAATTTGTGAAGTGAACATTAACTTAGGGTTCACTCAAGACAATCTTCGCATTTATTAGAGTTGAAGCGGTTTGCTTTCAAAGAATGGAACAATGTACTCTTTTACAATGATGTTCACCTTGTACAATGCACAAGATCCACTCGAGATAGAGGCTTACAGAATAAGACACAATTTATAAGGATATGTGGGGAAGATAAAGGTTAACCTTAGATTTGAACAGATTTGATTGTAGTGATCGGGGAAACATTCTCTTGGGAATCGGTTTCACATAATTGGAGTTCATGAGAAGAACTTACATCTCACCAATGGAATACGAATGAAATTAAGGTGGATCGCTACAATCTGCATGGCAATACGGGTGATAAGGAATATAGTTCGTCTGAGCACTTTCCATTAAAATAGCGATAGAGCAGCGAGAAACTTGCGATCTTTCATCTTTGGGAAAAGGGTTTGTGTTAGTGGAAAGCAATTCATCACCCAAAAGGCCGTGTAGACACTTTTGGGTTATGAAGACTGGACAGCTCCTGCCCATATATGGCAGCAGTGCTCCATTTTCGACCTGATCTGGCTCTTGTAAAGATAGATAGATGGTGGAGTCTGGTACTTACTGGAGCGGTCCAGGGAAATGAATATTTTTCCAGCATGAAATTTAATTCTTAGAAAATTAGTTACTAAGTAAAGAAAACGCTTACTTTTAGAAAATGATTATTTTTTTATTCTACAACGGGCTATGATAAGTTTTTAGCCACATTTGATTACAGCAATTTCGGCTTTCTTTTTTTTTTCCAGACAATACCTTATTAGTATCAAGCCTCTCTCATCTATGAACGATAGTTGACTTATATTTTGCAATGAAAGTTTGCGGAAGTAAGAAAATTGGTGAATTTCAACGATGGCAAATAATAGGATGGCATCAGTGTGGCAAGTCAAACAGAGAAATTGCTAGGTTTTTCCAGGTTAATCATCAAATAATTAATAATATTGTCAAGAAATTTAATAAAGAAGACCATTGTCGTGTAAAACAAGGTTCAGGAAGACCATCCATCGTGTCTGAGCGAACGAAAAGGGCACTGAATAGGGAAGTCATCAGAATGCGGTGAGGAAGACTCTGGAAGAGCCAGACTACCAAAGAAGAGATGCCAGAAAGAAGCTCTTGAATTCAGAGGTTAACAGGGACAGGCGTATGGAATGAGCGAGAGAATTCAAGAGCAAAGATTATGAATTTTGGTAGTCTGTAATTTGGTCAGATGAAAGTAGATTCTGCTAATATTCGAATTCGAGACAGGTTTATGTTTGGAGAAATCAGAATGAGGCTTGGAACACTGAATTTCAGCAGGTGACTGTGAAACAGGGAGGGATTGGAGTAATGGTGTAGGGGCGCTGTCTGGTTTGGAGGAAAATCTGAACTTGTTGATGAGCGATTAAATGGTCCAAAACACTGTCGAATAATAGAGAAACGACTACTCCCACTATTTGAAACCAATCAGATTGCCAAGAATGTCTGCCTTTTTCAAGAAGATGGAGCGCCATGTCATACGAGCAAAGACATGGAAGGAATCGCAAGGAATCAAGTTACTGCCATGGGTAGCCCAAAATCCTGACATGAATCCAATAAAACACGTTTGGGAGCACCTTGACCGAAAACTTCGAGAGCGTGCAACCAAAATGACGCCATTGGCAACCCTTAAAGAAACATTGCTGAAGGAGTGGAAAAATATGAACCAGACGATTGTTGATAACTTGGATCAAATCCATGAAAAATCAAATCCAAGCACTGAAACTAGCAAAGAGAAGACCTACTCCATATTAGTTCCAAAAACTGTTTATTTATGTTGAGTTGGAATTGCGTGATTAAATTTTGAAATTGGATGTAGTTTATTCCTCCTGGCTAAAAACTTTTCTTAGTTCAATGTAGGTCTATTGATGACTTATGGCCCAGAAAGTCTATGCAATTGACTAATAGAAGAAGTGTAAGTATTGCTTTTCTTGGCTATTTTGTTCTTTTTTTAATCACTTTAACGCGTGCAAGGCAATAGAGTCACTAAGACGCAAGAGGATTACTGAGTGTGAGATAATACGAGAAAGAGAAAACAAGGAGAACATTAAAAGAAAAGGAATTAAGAAGAGAAAAGATAACGATTGGCATTGCATTTAAATTTTTGAAGATCAAAGTTGGTTGGAAAGCAAGAAAACGGTAAAGAATGCCACAAGCGAGAATTGCGAGAGAAGAAACACTTAGCATAGAACTTACGGCATCATTTATTATCCAGTCTGTCAGAGGATCGCTTTATCCCGCGATACCGTGTAGCTACGATAGGGTTGTGTATCTCTTTGATTGTCTTGAATTGTAGTTAGATAAATAGATAGATAAGAACAGAAAGAAAAAGAAAGGAAAAAGCAAAGAAACTAAGTTTGATACAAGGATTGATAGATAATGGCTAGACTTTGGATTTTGTCACTGTACAATGAAAAAGCTGGAAATACATCAAATATTTATTTATTCGTGTATGAAAAATCGCTTTATCATGTGAAACTGGTAGTTACGATGGGGCTTATATCTCTTTGACTGTCTTGGATTGCTGATAGAAAGAAAGAAAGAAAGAAAGCAAAAAAAAAAAACTAAGCTTGATACAAGGATGGATAGATAATGACTACATTTGGGGTTTTTCGCTGTGAAAGAAAAAAGGTAGAAAAAGCTGGAAATGTATAAAATATTTATTTATTCATATGTAAAAACCATCACTTTATCATATGAAACTGGTAGTTACGGTGTGGTTTCTACATTTGTTTTGGATTGCTGATAGATAGATAGATAGATAGATAGATAGATAGATAGATATGAACAGAATGAAAAAATAGAAAGAAACCAAAAAAAAAAAAAAAAGAAAGAACATAAGTTTGATACAAGGATAGATAGATAATGGCTACACTTTGGGTTTTTCGCTGTAAAAGAAAAAAGCTGGAAATAAATATTTATTTGGTTTTGTATCTCTTTGACTGTTTTGGATTGCTGATAGATAGATAGATAGATAGATAGATAACAGAATGAGAAAGATACAAATAAAACAAAAAAGAAATTAAGTTTGATACAAGCATAGATAATGGGTATTTTTCGCTGGGAAAGAAAAAAGCTGGAAGAATCTGAAAATGCATAAAATATTTATTTGTTCATATGTAAAAAAATCGCTTTATGTGAAACTGGTAGTTACGATGAGGTTTATATTTCTTTGACTGTCTTGGATTGCTGATAGATAGATAGATAGATAGATAGACAGACAGACAGATAAGAACAGAATGAAAAAGAAAGAAGAAAGCAAAAAAGAAAGAAACTAAGTTTGATACAAGGATTGATAGATAATGGCTCCACATTTGTTTTTGTCACTGTGCAAGGAAAAAGCTGGAAATACATCAAATATTTATTGCGTTGAATGTTTTGTGATGACCAGCAAATTCTTTTCTTTGTATGTCTTCGCCTTCCGGGATGACCATTGATCTGTACATTATTAATTACTGAGAATAAGACGAGCGTTCTTTCCGCTCAATCACTCGAATTGTTTGCTTTCACATTCCAGCGTGTTGTTGTTCATTCAGGGAATCACACAGTCAATCAATCACTCATAGTATTACTCAGAACAGTTTAACCGTAGTTGACTTATGCCGAGGAAAAAAAAAAAAAAAAAAAAAACACCTCCATTTTGTCCCGAAAGAGGCAGTACAAGAACGGCATTGTTCAACGATTACGGAAAATAGTCTCCACCAGGTATCTAATCGTCCTCTGTGGAGCAGGTGTATAGGACGTGAATTTGCTTCAAAATTTGATGTCAACATCTGCTTGCGTCTTATACAGTGAAAATATGAATGATTTATAAGAAAAAATACGATGCGTGTTTAGTTGTGTGTGTTTGTGTGTGTGTTTGCGTGGAAAAATGTAAGTTGTGATTCAGCCATTTAGAAACGCGATATCAGTAACCCAAAAGATGGGTTGGTTGGTTTTGTTTCGCGGCATATCAATACCTCTATGGGTCATTTAATGCCAAAATCTAAATAATCTGAATGCAATTCCTGGCTTCAACTAAATTTATTTTAAATGCAATTGTATACTTTCAACTACAGATAAAATATATTATTGGTCATTTTGTTATAAAATGTATTTTAGACTATTCTGCTATAAAATTTATTACTGCTCATTTTGATATAAAATATATTGTTGGTGATTCTTCTATAAAATGTATTGTTGGTCATTTTGCTATAAAATGTATTGTTGGTCACTTTGCTTTAAAAATGTATTGTTCCTAATCTTACTATAAATATATATTGTTATACTCTCATAGTGTATTGTCTTTATTTGCGGGTTCACTATTTTCCCATAGATGGGACTCTAATAGGTGCTACCACCCCCCGGGCCAGAGTGGACCTGGGAACAACAGCGATTAAGAGGCGGTTCCACACTTCTCAAACCCTCCAATCACCGCATCAGAGGTCGGATGTAGTTTATCGTCATACCTGACTTACCCAAAAGATGAGTTCAAGTATGATATTCTCCTTGATCATAGTATTGGGTCCGTTGATGGTAATGAAAAGGGCTTTGAGCGAGTAAGGCCTGAGGCTCTTGGCAAAGATCATCCTTCTTTGGGCATTATGCGCTGACACTACAGAATCAGAAACAAAGGATTATCAAATAACTGAAACTTTGGGACTACCAAAATCTGCAACAAATAAAAATGAATAGCACATGTGAATCGAAGAGAGAATAATGACATAATCAAGATGTTAACATTCCACACTACTTCAAACTGATGATTAAGAAGGAAACCCCAATCAGTACTGGAAAGAGCGATAACAGTTACTGGAATTGAGAAATCAGTTTTCTTAAGAATGTATTTTCAGAGAAATATTTTATAAATTTAAACCGAAAATAGTAATGGGTCTGTTGACGAATGCCAAATGTTTCCTTGTAGGGAATTAACTAATATTACCATTACGAGAGATGACCTTAAGGTTGCTAGCACCCAAGACAAGCTGAAATTCGGGACTCTTATAAGTATAATTTTTTGTTTTCACAAAGAAAAAAAGTCAAATTTATTACAATATACAGCTTAATACAACATAAAGACCATTCATGATCCTAAAATATTTTCTAGCTTTTAGATCTGTAAATCTTTTCATAGCACTTTCTACACCAGTCTTCTTTAAAAGATCAATGAATTTAATCTGTTTTGAGCCATGGAAGACCGCAAATATGCTTTTATAAGATTTAGTTTTGGAAGATCCCAAACGCATGACATGTCGGCATGATGGCGCCCTCGGCATTGATGGCGCCTCGGGTGACTGCCCGGGTTGCCAGTACTTTGAGCTGGTCCTGACCATTATCATTATAAGGAAACATCCGACATTCATTGACCAATCAGCTTGTGCTACTGTCGGTGGAAATTTATATCTGTTTTTTTCTTTTTAACAGTACTTGTTTTGTTGTGGAGTAGCTGAACACCCCAACAAGATGAAATGGTCTAAGACTATTTCAACAGCACTCTCTCTTACTGATGGAGATGAGTTAACGATTAATCGTTACCCTGTCGACTATCTGCCTTCGGGTGGAGAGGAACTCAAACGAGGCTATGCCTACAGGCAGAGTCTCATCTAAGGAAGTAGGCAGCCACCCGACCCCATGTATACGTGGAATTTTTGCACGCGCGTACGCGCTCGGAATAACCCTACGTTAAAAACCGGCCGTGTGCCACATCCCGCCTTGTGGAGAGGTCTCGGGTAAATACCAAGGAGTTAACCATTAATCGTTGACCTCTGCTTGTTGACCTCTCTGCCTCCGGGAAAAGGGGAACCCAGACAAGGCTATGCTGAAGGGCAAAGTCTCATGGAGATGTAGACAGATACCCGACCCCGTGTATACGGAGTCTACAGGCAATTTTTGCCCGAGCCTACGTGCTCGGAACGCCCCCGTAAAAAAACCGGTTGTGTGCCACATCTCACCTTGTGGGGGATGTCTTGGGTAAATAGCGAGAAGTTAACGATTACAGTTAACTCTGCTTGTCAACTCTCTGCAGTCGGGCGGAGAGGAACTCAGACGAGGCTATGTCTACGGGCAGAGTCTTGTCTGGGAAGGTAGACAACTGCCGACCCTGTCTATGCGGGGTCTACGGGGAACTTTTTCCCGAGAGTACGCGCTCGGAATAACCCTACGTTAAAACCCGGCCTTTTGTCACATCCCGCTTTGTGAGGAGGTCTCGGGTAAATAGCGAGGTGTTAACGATTAGCTAGCCGACATCTCTGCCTTTGGGCAGAGAGGAACCCAGACGAGGCTATGCCTACAAGCTGAGTCTTGTCTGGTAAGGTAGACAACTTCCTGACCCCATCTATGCGGGGTCTACGGGGAATTCTTTTTCGCGAGCCTACGCGCTCCGAATAACCCTACGTTAAAACCCGGCCTTGTGCCACATCCCAGCTTGTAGGGAGGTCTCGTGTGTATACCGGGGAGTTAAAGATTACCTGTTTATTACACTAGTCAAATGTGTACAATATTATTCTCCGGAATAAACTACTTATTTTCTATATGTGTGTCATATCTTTCCTATTTACGACTCAGCAGGTCTCAATGAAAAAGGTCCACGCTGATGTACTTATTCATTCCTGATTAATCGACCGAATTAATAGAGGGATATCAAGAAACACTCAACATATATAATTCTTAAAAGAAACGCGAAAAAAAAGAAAGTAAATTTCAAAGGAAAATGGCGTATTTTCCAGCCTATTAGACGCGGAGTTTTTCAAAAAATTATCCTGCGTCTAATACAGCATGTAAGCGAGTGACATAAAGAGCATTAAAAAAGCGGGTATTACCAGGAATCAGTCAAAGCATAGAACTTACCTCTGAAACTAGAACTCCTGCAAGAGAACAAACATGATATCAATAAAAAAAAAAAAAATTCACCCAGGAAAAAAGAAATTTGCACAACATTTTAATACTTCTTTTGTAGAAATACCAGATTTTACAGAAATATTTACTTTGACTGTTATATTACTGCTTGCTTTGTGTGTGTCTTTGTTGATGAACACATATTGGATTTCACGGTGAGGGAATGGATAGCGAATCGAAAAGCCGAGTTCGAATTCTAGTCGACTCCATTACATTCACTTACGTGGTAATACCCTTGCGAAAGGTATGAATCCTTCTTAATCCTCCTCCAGCTATGGGTAAATAGCAGGTCAGACCGGATTCTATAGCCCTGGATGGCAACTGATCTACCGAAGAAAGAAATGGCAACCTACTGCGGGAAAAAATCTGCCTCGTCAGTTATGTATCGAAAGATACATGATCACCTAAGCGTGTATCACACATAGCATATTTACTTACAGGTATTGAAATTTGATTTTCTGCGTGTATGGTATGGTGTTTCTTTTACCAACAAGTACCATATTTCTGTTTTTCGCTTATTAGCGTATTTACTGGTGTTCATTGATATCAGTAGATTTCTTTGTAGCTAATATGAATTTACTTTGTGTGCAGATGCTGCTCCTTGAAAAACATCTAAAACAATTTTCATTAAATGCATGATGAAATGTACTGAAATTCTTCTTTTTCAAAAAAACATCCTGGTAATTAAACCTTCCCTCACTTCTATTAAAAAAAGTACCAATAGTATAAGTTGTAATATTACTGTAAGTCTTCTTTCATGATTAGTGAGAATGTCACATAAAGGCATGGTTATAAGTTTGATCCTTTAGTTTGCGATATGTACATTTTGTTCTTAAATATTCCATGCCAAAATCTGGGTGTGTCCAATGCGTAGGTGCATCCAATACTCCAGCTAGTATGGTACTTTTCAAACAAATAAAATACTTCTCAAAAATAAACAACAAATAATTTGAAACAAACTCAAAGAAATGATAAATGGTAATGTGTCATGTAGATAGAAAATGAGTAACTACCGACACCGAGGTTCGATCGTGACAGTCTGGACTTATGAATATATGTTTTCTTCCAGGTGTATAAATAGCGGTGTCAGGCTACTGACTGCAGTGATTATTGAGTGACTATTGAATGGAACTATCCAGTCGAATTAGTGTGAATTATTGTGCGTCGATGATTTGGGTTTTGATTTAGGATTTACCAGACGTTAAACCGAGCCGCTCTACTAACAAACTATTCACTGAAATGGTTAATTATATTTGGTTGACTTTTACTTCTTTGTTCTTGTTAAGTATTTATTTACGGTTGTAATTAAATACTGTTTTATTTTAACATTGAAGTCTTGAGTTATACTTAATTATTAACGGCCACCATACGTCACAAAATAATGTTAATATTAGCCGTTTCCTCATAAGGAAATATTCGGTATTCATTGACTGAGCAGTTT